GGTCCCCAATGGGGGCTACTACCAGCCAGAGGGAACCCTGGAGAGGCGGCGGCTGGCCTATGGGGGCTACGAAGGGTCCTCCCAGGGCTATGCCGAGGCCTCTATGGAGAAGCGGCGCCTCTGCCGATCACTGTCAGAGGGGCCGTACCCCTACCCACCTGAGCTAGGGAAACCGGCCAGTGGGGACTTTGGATACCGCTCCCCAGGCTACCGGGAGGTGGTGATCCTGGAGGACCCTGGGCTCCCTGCCCTGTGCTCATGCCCTGCTTGTGAGGAGAAGCTGGCACTGCCCACGGCAGCCCTATATGGGCTGCGGCTGGAGAGGGAAACTGGAGAGGGGTGGGCGAGTGAGGCTGGTAAGCCTCTCCTGCACCCAGTGCGACCTGGGCACCCACTGCCCCTGCTGGTGCCTGCCTGTGGGCACCACCATGCCCTGATGCCTGAATACAGCTGCCTAAAGCCACCCAAGGCAGGCGAGGAAGGGCATGAGGGCTGCTCCTATGCCATGTGCCCCGAGGGCAGGTATGGGCATCCAGGATATCCTGCCCTGGTGACATATGGCTATGGAGGAGTAGTTCCCAGTTACTGCCCCGCATATGGCCGGGTGCCCCACAGCTGTGGATCTCCAGGTGAGGGTAGAGGGTATACCAGCTCTGGTGCCCACTCCCCACGGGCTGGCTCCATTTCCCCGGGCAGCCCACCCTACCCACAATCCAGGAAGCTGAGCTACGAGATCCCTGCAGAGGAGGGAGGGGACAGGTATCCACTTCCCGGGCACCTGGCCCCAGCAGGACCCTTGGCATCTGCAGGTGAGGGCATTGGGGTGGGTGGTGCCCAGGGCAGTGGAGGGTTCTGGAAGATGGTGGGGAAGGCACAGAGTGAGAAAAAGCTAAGCCCGACAGAAGGGGCTCTTCTGGCTCATGGTCCCTCCTCTCTCCTTCCCTGCAGAGTCACCAGAGCCAGCAGCCTGGAGGGAGGGCCCCAGTGGACACAGCACCCTGCCTCGGTCTCCCCGCAATGTGCAGTGCAGTGCCTCTTCTGAGTTGTCTGGTCCCTCCACACCCCTCCACACCAGCAGTCCAGTCCAGGGCAAGGAGAGGTATGCAGAGGGGCCGGGCCTACTTGGGCACTTCCTGTCGAAGGAAACACTGAAAGCTGGGGGTAGGAGCAGCTCACAGCAGGGCTCTGTGGCCTTCCTGACCACCTGCCCTCCCACCCCACAGTGCCCAACGGCAGGACACCAGGTCCCCCAGCTCTGTGCCCACTCAGAGACTGAGTCCTGGCGAGGTCTTACCACCTGTTTCCCAGGGAGGCAATGAAAAGGCTCCTGAGCTGCCAGCAAGAAGTGGGCTTGGGCCTCCAGCCCCTAGACTCTTCTTAGCCTCCCCTCCCAGCTCACCCAGCGACTGGCCTCAAGCAAGAAGCCCAGGGGGCCCCTCAGACAGTGCCAGTCCACGGGGCCCCGTACCCACCACGCTGCCCGGCCTCCGCCATGCCACCTGGCAGGGACTTCGAGATCCCCCAGACAGCCCAGATGGCTCCCCACTCACTCCTGTGCCTACCCAGATGCCCTGGCTTGTGGCCAGCCCTGAGCCTCCTCAGAGCTCACCCACACCTGCATTCCCCCTGGCTGCATCCTATATCAATGGCCCCACCCAGCCCCCACTCCCTGAGAAACGCCACCTGCTGGGGCCTGGGCAACAGTCAGGACCCTGGGACTCAGAGCAGGCATCACCACCAGCCAGAGGCACCAGCCACCATGTCACCTTTGCACCTCTGCTCCCAGATAACACCCAGCAACCCCCAGGTAAAAAGGCCTTGAGGTAGGTGGGCCACCTTGGGAGAACCCTTCCTCTCCCAGGGAGGGCCATGGCCTGGGGACTGGGAAGCCCTGGGGCCAAGCCCAGTTTCTTCCTATCCTAGAGGCCCCTATGCAAGAAAGCCAGAGCAATGTCAAGTTTGTCCAGGATACGTCCAAGTTCTGGTATAAGCCACACCTGTCCCGTGACCAAGGTGAGAAGCCAGCCTGACCCACCCATCCTATCCTTCAGGGCTGTCTTGTCTATGGAGCCCATCCTTGCCTCAGTGGTGTTACTCTGGGTTTTGGGCCCAAGGGTGTTTAAGCTCAACACTGTCAATGCCCTGTTAACTTCAAAGTTCTGTACCCAAGTGCCCAACACCACCACAGCTGTTAGGGCGAGAGGCCTGGGGAGCTTGGGTAGCAGAATGGCAGGGCTCAGTCAGGCACTGGGAAACTTCTCCTGCCTCCTCACAGCCATCGCCCTGCTGAAGGACAAGGACCCTGGGGCCTTCCTGATCAGGGACAGTCATTCATTCCAAGGAGCCTATGGGCTGGCCCTCAAGGTGGCTACACCACCACCCAGTGCCCAGCCCTGGAAAGGTACAGGATGCTCCAACCTGAGAGAGAAGGGAGTGGAGTTGGGGGAGGTAGCAGAAGCAAGACAAGCGGGGTGGGCCGTGCTGCTTCTTGATGGGGAGAGGCGGGGAGTGACCTCTCCAGCCCTGGAAAGAATCCCGGCAGGAGAGAAGGTGGGAACCTGGAATCTAATGAAGCCTTCCTCTCCCCTCCCCACCACCCTTTCCCCTCAGGAGACCCCTTGGAACAGCTGGTCCGCCATTTTCTTATTGAGACTGGGCCCAAAGGGGTGAAGATCAAGGGCTGTCCCAGCGAGCCCTACTTTGGTGAGAAGCAGGGGCTGGGAAGTCTACTCCACTGGGTTTATTTGGGAGGGCCAAGGGGGTCTTAGGAGGGTGGAGGGAAAGCTGGGCCACCTGTGGGCGCCTCAGACTTCTCTTACCTCTCCCCTGCAGGCAGTCTGTCTGCCCTGGTCTCCCAGCACTCCATCAACCCCCTGTCCCTGCCCTGCTGCCTGCACATTCCCAGCAAAGGTGGGTGTCTTATGATCTGTCTTTCCACCTCTTCCAACCCACGGCAGCCAAAGGCAGAATCCCCAGGTCCTGGCTCCTAGCCTGCCTTCCCTTGGGATGTCATTAGTTCTCCAAGAATGTCACTCCCTGTTGACCTTCCCATTGGCCTGCATTTCCCTCAGATCCTCTGGAGGAGACCCCAGAGGCCTCAGTGCCCACCAACATGAGCACAGCAGCAGACCTCCTACGTCAGGGCGCTGGTAGGGGCCTTTCCCTCCCGTCCTCCCTTTTCCAGGGCCCCAAGGGTGCACTGACAGGCCTTGAGGTGGGTGGGCCCTGATGGATGTGTTGAACTCATGAAGGCAGGGGGGGCCCTTATATCAGTAGGGGGTGGAAAAGGAGATCATGGGAAGAGGGCCTGTGAGAATGCAGATTCTCAGGCCTCTGTTCAGCATTTCCCACAGTAGATCTGGGAGAGTCAGAACCTGTCTTTTTAATAGGTTATTCATGTCATTCGAATGCATTTTGAGCAAAACTAGCTGGGGAAAGTACAAGAGCTGGTGGGGGAATCACAAGGACAGAGACTGGGGCCTGGCTGAGCCGTGCTCTCCTCCACTTCTTGCCCCCATAGCCTGCAGTGTGCTCTACCTGACCTCCGTAGAGACGGAGTCACTGACGGGCCCCCAGGCAGTGGCCAAGGCCAGCTCTGCAGCTCTGAGCTGCAGCCCCCGCCCGACACCAGCTGTGGTCCACTTCAAGGTCTCAGCCCAGGGCATCACACTGACAGACAACCAAAGGAAGTATGTGCATGGAGCCCCTGGGGAGCCCCCAAGCTTAGGCCCTGGGTGCCCCCCTTCCCAGGTGTGACTATCCCCACCCTCCTCCTCACAGGCTCTTCTTTCGCCGCCATTACCCAGTGAGCAGCATCACGTTCTCCAGCATCGACCCTCAGGACCGGAGGTGACCTTTCCTCCCACAGCCCCACAAACCAGACAGTCCCCAGCCCCAGCTCCTCCTTGAGGAGCTAGTCCCTGGGGTGCATTCCTTCACAGCTCTTCTCCTTCTGCAGATGGACCAACCCTGATGGCACCACCTCCAAGTGAGCCCTCCCCCTTCCCTGCTCCAGAGCAATCTCTTCCCTACATGGGATTGAGGCGCCTCCTTCCTCCCCAACCCTGGTTTTGCAGTCCCTTGTGGAAGGGATGCTAAGCCCCCTCCCTATCCTGTCTTTGTACCCCTAGGATCTTTGGTTTTGTGGCCAAGAAGCCAGGAAGCCCCTGGGAGAATGTGTGTCACCTCTTTGCTGAGCTTGACCCAGATCAGCCTGCAGGTGCCATCGTCACCTTCATCACCAAAGTTCTACTGGGCCAGAGAAAATGAAGGCAGGCCGCAGTCAGAGCCCACAACAGCACCACGCCCCTCTCAGCAGCCCACAGTCCTCACTTTCCCTGGCCCAACCAAGGAGACCCAGACGCCCGTCCCCTTCCTTGGGAATGGGGAGTGGGGATCAGCCTGGGACACTGCTCTCCTTCCCCACCCCCAGCCTGCTAAGCTAAGTGGACAGGCCCATGAGGTGACCTTGCACGTGAGCAGATGGCAGAGATGGGTATGTGAAGGGTGAGGAGGCATCAGCAGTTGAGCCCTGGAGGGGATCAATCCAGCCCCACCTGCAGGACATCAGCCCCTGAAGTGTAAAGAGGCCATGCCAACCCCACCCAGTGGCAGGTCCCAGGAGGGCAGGAAGAGGGGGAACCTGGAGAGCAAGGCACTCCCTCTTCTACCTCCCCCTCTGAGCAGAGAGATCAGTGGGAGCACATGAAAAGGAGGGAAAAGAGTCTATTTTTGTCTAATAATAAAGAATTTCTATATCATTTGGCTGGAATGGACCCGTTCCTTATTCATAGGAGGGTCAAAGTCTCGTGTCTCCCAGGGGCATAACTGTGCTTCTTGAGGGCACCCCAGGCCCACAGCCAGGTCCATGGAACGTAAACAATCCCCATGGTGGCCTCATGTTGGTCCACGTGTTCCTAGGAGCAAACTGCCCTTGGCTGCCCCCACCTCCAGCCCGGTCCCTAGCCCCATATACTGGAAAGGATACTGTGGCCCAGCCATGCTGATAAATATGGAAACTCCATCTTTATTGGCTGTATAAACATCTGTGGTCTGTACATACATTTCATACATCATAGTGCAGGGCCTGAAGGGAGGGCCAAAGGGGAGACCCCAGCAGCACAACAGCTCACCCCCTTTCCCCAAAGTCCTACCACTCTGTGCAAACCAAGGCCAACAGCTCCTGCTCCCTCTTCCTCCCAGAAGTCACTGTATGTAGAGGGGTTTGGGGGTCAAGGGGATATGAGATAGGAGGGTTTGGTGCAGGGGCATACACGTAAATGCTAGAGTCAAACACTGAAGCAACTGGCACAGGCAGCAAGCTGGGCACAGAGGCAGGGGTGGAGCAGAGAAGGGTACTAAGGGGCTAAGCTGCCTTTTGGGCTCCCTGGGCCAGGGCTCTGGGGTCTTACCCTCACCATGGCAGGAGAGACATGCTATGGAGTCTCAGCCTGCAGCCCAGAGAACTAGGGACAAGGGTGCCACAGGTGAACAGAGAATGGCAAGGGGCAGATGGGAGCAAAGGCCCTAGTCCCCCACCAGACAGCCCCTCTCTTACTCCATCAAACATGTAATGGGCACCCACCTATGTGTATAGCTGTGGGGAGCCAGAGACTCAGATTCTCTGTGGGACTACGGAGGCCGAACAGGTAGTCGGGGAGAAAGCTGGCTCTCAGAGGACAAAACAGAGACCCTAGAGTAGTCTTACTGGGATAGCAGTCAGTGGAAGGAGAGACGGGGGCAAAAAGAGCCTCCCTAGCCCAGCTAGGGGGGATGACAGCAGCAACTGGTTTACACGATGGAACAGAGAACAAAAAGAAAATACAAGGAAAAATACTGCAGTAAACAGGGAGGGGTTGTCTCTCCTCCACTCTGTAAAGCCTCATGCCCAAATAGCAGCTGAGACAGGGTGCTCACTCCTCTCCACTCACATGGGCCAGTGGGCAAAGGTGAATGTAGGAGCCCACTGGCCAAAGCAATGAGACCCACCACTGAGCAACACCATTCTTTGGGCCTGATCCTGTCCAACCAGGAACTCGGGCCCAGGGACTGATAAGAGAGGTTGCACCAGGTCAGAAACGTGGGCACAGACGAGCTTGGCAGGGACCTGATCTGGCAGGGGCAGAGTGACTATGCCCCCCC